CTGTGGTTGCTGCTGTGGTTGCTGCTGTTGTTGCTACTGTGGTTGCTTGCTGTGGTTGTTACTATCGTTGTTGTTGTTGTTGTTGCTTCTGCTGCTACTGCAGTTACTATTGTTGCTGCTGCTGCTTCTATATTACCTGAATCATATCTTCAAGAAACTGCTTAAAAGATCTGCAATCTTCTCCACCATCAACTTTCTTGCTAAACACCTTCCTCGCCATGTTGTTCACACTTTTAATCGCCACAAATCTACGCACGATGTACTCTTCCTCTTCAAACACTCCTTCCATGATACCATACAACTTATGCAATGGAATGCTATCAAAACACTTATTGATGTCCACATGTACCATGTACAAGCTCCTCTCGTCGTGGCGTCCTTTCCTCTTCAAATGAAACGCTCTCAGAGCTTGATACACACCATCGTTTCCAAACACCGTCGACTCTGAGCGAGGTGGCTCCCTACTTTTCTCAAATTTGATGATTTCGAACAGGTTCCTTAATCTGGAGTTGATCGACGCCTGGATTTTATTATTAGCGTTGCTAGAATGTTGGTGCTTCATATTGATAATAGGTCGAACATTCTGCGCTTTGGGTAGAAATCGCATATAAGAATATCCAAGTGACGAATTTGAACTTAAGATTTCTGTTGCCTCATCTTTGGAAAGTGGTTTCAATAGTTCACTCTTCATGGAAGCCACTCCAAAATCGTTGATGATCTTCCACACTGGTTTACGATAGAAATAAATTTCTCTAGTTTGGCCAGCATTTTCGGTTATGTAGAAAAAGCTCTTGAGGATTACCATGATGTAGCGTCTGACCAACCACCAAACCCACTTGTACAGCACTTCTCGTTGCTTCTCGGACTCACTCAACGGGATGCCTTTGTCTCTACCTGCATCGCATCTTAACCACTTGCATTCTCTTATCTTGATTCCATTGACCATCTGACCTAATGAGTACTTTTCTCCCTTGTTTAGATTGATCAAGCTTTTTAGATTGTTGTAAAAGGCTTTCTTGTTTTGAGGCGAACCCCAGAGCTCCTTGGGAATGACACGGTTACAAACTGCAACCACAAAACGAACAACCTTAAATAAAAATAAAAAATAAAAAGCATTTTTAGTTTTAGTCAGACTTTCGTTTGTTTAAGAATGCAAAAAAAATTTACAAATCTAAAAGAAAATTTACCTGAAAACGTGGAATAAAGTTCTGTACAGCTCGATCGTACTTTTCCTGCTTTGATTCCGACACKTTTCTTCCTGGAACACTTTTATTTTCTAAATTAGATTTCTTCTCGTGATTCTCCTGAATTTTTCCATCTTTACTCTGGTTTTTATCCTCCTCTCTTCCTTTCCTTTCATCCTGACTTGGTCGAATTTGCAAAATTCCCACAACTTTTTCCTGGATCGTTACTCGTTTTTCCTGAAATCCAGCTTGTTTTTTCTCAACTTGAACCAGTTTTTCCTGAATTCCAATCGGCTTTTCAGCCTGTTTTTCCTTTTCCTCGGATAGGTCAACCATACCTTTGCAATGATGTTTCAAAAGCGCATTGAAGCGGCATTTTTTGTGTCGTTTTAGCATTCTGTCAAACAATCCTTTTATTTTCACAAATCGTTTCGGTAAACGCAGGTTTTTCTTCTTCTTTTCGCCTTCCCTTCTGACCCCATTTTTCTTGGCAACAACTTTGACTTGTTTTGTTTTGTTGTGCAAAACGAATTCCCTTTCGATGAAGATATCCTCAATCAACTTGGTTGCTCCTCGTTTGCTTGCTGTAGTGGAAGACAGAATGTGACATTTTGGAAATCTGTTTCCGAGATTTGTAGAATACATCAAAGCGGGTTGAGGAAAGTAAAGTGTGAAAATCTTTGAACACAAATTTGAAGAAGTGTCCTTACGTTTACCATTTTTGGGTTTTTCAGAATTTAAATATCTTGGTTTCTTTGCGAAGGGTTCTTCAAAGCAGCTTGGCTTCTTTCTCTTCATCTTTTTCACCTTCTTGTTGCACCTTGGTTCCTTTAACTGGTCGTTCACTCCACAAAACTCCAATGTTTTTTGCTGTTGCATTAAAAGATGCCCAGCAATGGAATTCGTCCCTTGTACGACAATATTTTGAGGAATTTCTTCAGCAGTGCCAGAAAATTCCACCTGCAAAGGTGTCTCTTGCGTTCTTTGTCTTGAAAATGCTGTTTCTTGGGGTTCCTGCCCTTGTCTATTGTCTTCTTGCACAAAACTATGTTGTTCTACCATTAATAACTCAGATATTTCAGTTTCACAATCCATTTTTTCTAGTTCAGGTTCTTCTTCACCAGGTATGGTTTGGTGTGCCACTGGTTCCTGTGAATCCATTTGTTCAGCAAGTACCATATTTTGTCTAAAATCTTGTTCCAAGGGTTTATCCTGTCTTACTGGTAGTGATGGAAAGACAGCTTCTTGCAACATCCTATCTTGTATAGTTTCCTTGGGCATGTTCGCATCATCTGGCATTTCTTGCGTGGTTGAGGATAACTCATCTTCTTGTTCCCCATGCCGTATGCATTCTAGGTTGTACATAGGGTACCCGGCTACCTGCATGTAACATTGATTCTTGACCATCACAAACAAGCTCACGTCCTTCAACAAATGAATCATAAGATCATCCCCTATGCGCTTGTGAAGTGCCTGCCAACACTTTGACGAAAGAAAATCAACAGCAGAATTAGGATATTTGTTGACGACAGTCGCCGTAGATGATGCACACCCTGTACTATTGTTCCTATCCCTCACTAACTGGTATCCAATCGAAACAATATTTCCTGCACTTCCAATTAACGAATGACATGAAATTTCTATTACTCTCTGCAGCACGTCCCTCATGTGACAACCCTCTCTGACACTTGGAGTAAAACAACGCAAGTCTACTTCAATGTCATGGTAACATACAATAGTCTGTTTCAGCATGTCGTTATAGGCTTTTGGGTCATTGGGACAATGAAGTCTGTCTTTGACGGCAGATAAATAATCAAGTAGAGTACGCTGTTTTGGGTAAAAGGTGGCAAAGAGTTCCCGTGGCTTCATGTTTTATGTCATTGAAGGAAAAAAATACTTGATTAATAAAAAAATAGGTACAGTTCTTTGCTTTCACTTCATTTTTCCTTTCTCCTTTGTCCATGTTGTGAAGTTTTTCTTCCATCCCTTAAATTTAAATATAGAGCAAAAGACCCTTTCAGCTTGTGAGAATTTTTTTTTGTTTGAGAATAATAATAATAATTTTTGTTTATTTGAGTCTTATACATATTCATTTGTCTTTTCATGTGCACCCATTAAACAAAGAAATGATACTCTAGAGAATGACAATTACTGCCATGGAAAAAGATCATATTAAATTAAATAAAGAAAAATATATATATAATTTATCTGAAATATCAATTTATAAAGTTATATTTAACATCCAACATGTATTTGTACGTGGGTGATAAGCATCGTGCACCAACAATTAATAAACAAATTCAAAGGGTTTTGTGGGAAATACTAGTCGTTAGTCAAACAAAGAGCAGGTAATACGAAAATAAAACAAATATCTAAAACAAATACCTTGAATTTGCCAACCACATCGTATAAAACCACGCTAAAACATCCTTAAACCACAGACAACAAACAACTTTAAAATACAAACTTAACAACTAACTTGATTTTAATTCCAGGTCAGCGGAGAGCACTAAAAGGCGGTAAAACATGGCGGAAGCACGACGCGTTTCATTATCTCTTCAAATATTCCTAATTTTTGTATCTTTTAGCCGGGTTTTTAGTGAAAGCATAAGCCTTGGAGGCAGATGGACAGCTAATAATGCCAATAAGAGTGTTTCTTTGTATGGTAATGTCCCAGGGTCGGTTCATATGGCTTTGTTTGAGAACGGTACCATTGAAGACCCTTACTTCCGGTTTAATGACGTCAAATATCGATGGATTGCCTACGATAACTGGACTTATACTAGGACATTTGAAGGTAAGAAAGATAGTTTTGATTCAATTCATCTTAGAAAATATGTTTTGTTTTATTAGGACGCGTTGAAAGCTTGTTTTTAGGCTCATGATGTTTGGTGCACCACAGGTAGCCCAATCGTTATTTTTCGTTTTGCTTACTAGTATATCTGTAATGATATAATATAACATTGATACAGCTGTAAAAAGATAGGTCATAGACCTGCCTTTATATTGTCATAATGGTGCCGTGTCAGAGAATTTTCAGTATCTAGATTAATAATGATCTGCAATGTGATTGGTTCAATGGATGTTGTCATTTCCTAAGTGTGACAGTATACACCATACCAAAATATGCTATATTGATCGTCAATTAAATTTTGGGCTATTTCATAGCTTAAATAACACCATTGCTTTGTCCTATATTTAGATGGGACTTGATTAAATTATTCTGGTGATGTTGATAATGATGATGATGATGATGATGAACAATAACATATATAAATTTGTATTTTTTGGGGTTCCTGTGGCAGCCTGTGATATTTTTGTCACTTGGGCTTCATGTAATATTTTTTAGTCTGTTGGGCTACCTATGGTTTTTATATATCTTCCTAATTCTTTCCTTTGTAGTTAACAAGAGTATCATTTCACGAAGTAAAATCATCCTTGTATGCGATGGCTTAGATACAGTGTCAACAGTTTCCATAAATGACCAAGTTGTCGGCCATTCTGACAACATGTTTTTGAGATACATATTTGACGTCAAGAATGCTATCAAAGCAGGAACAAACACCATTCAAGTCAGATTTACGTCAGCTATTCAGTATGCTAAAAGAAAGAGTCAAGAATATGGATATGATGTGCCGCCAAAYTGTTCTGTTCCTGTTCAGCGTGGAGAATGCCACAGAAATTTTATCAGAAAAGAGCAAAGTTCATTCAGTTGGGTAAGGTTTCAAAATCACTGGTTTTACCGGTTACGATGTAGTTACCAGTAATGATGTTAACAATAACCAATCAGTAGAGAGCAGAATCAGTTGACCATTAAAAGTCCATGGGATTTCATGAATGATTTGCTCTTAAGTGACGCTAAACCTGTGTTTGAGTTATGATATACAGTGGTATTTACAGAATGAGAAAAGGGACTATTGATTTAAATTTTTTGTCTCTTTTAGGACTGGGGACCAGCATTTGCACCTCAAGGAATATGGTAAGGACAGTGGTTGCCCTGATGCTCTTTTAGTGCCAGAATACCCACCAAAATTCACTAATGTGCTTTGCACAATGAGTCAATCACTCTCTGATTCCTTCTCCCCTTCCCACTCTTTCGCATGGATCAAGGTGCTCTTATGCAGTCAGTGGGTTCCAGCGGCAGCCCCAGGGGAGTAAAAAATGGGAGGGGGTATATAAGTGTTTCATGTATATGTTATTGCACGTATGTAAATTTATATTTGACTAACTGGTGTCAACAGGAAAAACATCAGTGTACAAGCCTATGACACTGCAGTTATAAGGAATGTCAAGGTATCGACACAGAGGAAAGGTAACTTGAAAAAATCCCTTTCTTGAATGTGTAGGAAGAATTTGCAGTTCTTGATAATTTTATATTAATTCAAAAATTTGTATTTTGTATATACAAGGCTCAGATCCTAGCAGTCCTTGGGAACTAGACTTGACAGTGACACTTGATGCAGCTCAACAAAACGTCAAGGGAAACATTTTTGTCAGTATTCCAGAAATCCCCTTCACAAAAACACTTAAAGTTGATCTAAAAGATGCTGGAAATCAAAACATCCATGTTGGAAGATTTGAATTTTCAACAGCTCAAGTGAAGACCTGGTGGCCAAGAGGATATGGAGACCAGGCTTTGTATACTACGAAGGTGAGTTGATGAAAGCAGGGATTGGTTGCTCAGAGGGAGGAAGACTGGAAAACCTGGAAAACCTAGGAAAAAACCCTCAAAGCACAAAAGAGAACCAAGAAGAAGCCCTAGATCTACTATGCTAGGCTGGCGAAGTAAGACGGGGTGCATTGGCATGCAGTGCACTGATCACTATGCCCTTTTAGAATGAAGTTAGCATGCACTTACCCAATCTTGATACATTGGTATGCTAGCGCACTGATCACTATGCTTCACAGCATGAAGTTAGCATGCGCTTACCCAATCTTGATACATTGGCATGCTAGCGCACTGATCACTATGCTTCTCAGCATGAAGTTAGCATGAACTTACCCAGTCTAAGTGCATTGACATGTAGCGCACTGATCACTATGCTTCGCAGCATGAAGTTAGC